CGCCCAAACACGTCAACAACTGATGAAAACGTTCAAGCAGTGAAGAAAATTGTCTTGGAAAATTGTCGAATCACTATCAGAGAAGTTGCTGAGGATGTTGGTATATCGTTTGGCTCGTGCCATGAAATTTTTTCTAACGTTTTGGGCATGAGACGTGTGTCAGCGAAGTTTGTTCCGAAATTGCTAAATTTTGACCAAAAGAACCGTCGCATGAGCATCGCTCAAGAACTGTTGAATGACGTCAACAACGACCCAGATTTACTCAAAAGAGTCATAACTGGTGACGAATCATGGGTATATGGTTATGATATCGAAACCAAAGTCCAATCGTCCCAATGGAAGAGCCCAGATGAGCCAAGACCGAAAAAAGCACGCCAAGTTTGATCAAATGTCAAAGTTTTGCTCACTGTTTTCTTCGATTACCATGGCGTGCTGCATCAGGAGTTCTTACCATATGGACGTACGATTAATAAACAGTATTATCTTGAAGTTATGCGCCGTTTGCGAGAAGCAATACGAAAAAAACGCCCAGAATTGTGGAAAAACAATTCATGGCTTTTGCATCACGATAATGCCCCTGCTCACTCATCTTTGCTTGTGAGAGATTTTTTGGCCAAAAACAACACCACAATCATGCCTCAGCCACCATATTCACCGGATTTGGCCCCATGTGACTTTTTCTTGTTCCCAAAACTAAAGAGACCTATGAAAGGACGGAGCTTTGGAACGATTGAAGAGATAAAGACTGCATCGCTGGAAGAGCTCAAGGCTATACCGAAAAGTGCTTATGAGAAGTGCTTTGAGGATTGGAAAAACCGTTGGCATAAGTGTATTGTATCTGAGGGGGATTACTTTGAAGGGGACAACATAAATATTGATAAATAAATAAATATTTTTTCTTAAAAATACAAAGTCACCTTACTTTTTGAACACACCTCGTATACTTATAATTATATACTTTTAAAATTACTTGTGAAAACTCTATTGTTAATAATTTTTTTTTTTTTTTATTAATAAAGCCTGAAGAGGTCAGCAGATGTGCTGACGAAACGTTGTTGAATATAATTAAAATTAAGTGATTTTCCATCTATCACTATTTTCCTTCTCTCCATCATTACAAATTTATCACTTAAAAATCATAAGGGAATCAAGACAGTATGTTACGTTTTGAATGTTTGATTTAGATGACAGCTTCTACAACAAAACTTATTTCTAATAATCGTGGGAAAATGTAACAATTCCGGAACCGGTTTCATGCTTTTTCTTGAGATTTTATGATTGCAAAGAGAAAAAAATTGTTGAAGACAAAAAATGCTTAGTAGATGAGCTGAAAATTGAAAGATCTATAAAATTACATAGATTCAAGTGTTTTTCAGACAATGTACCACATAATAAATAATAGGATTGTTAAAACGCCTCTTCACGGTTTACTTATTACATATGTTTATGCACTTACAAAGAGTAAAAATACAATTTCAATTCTAGATCATCTCGGTATTTTCGTGTCATATGATGTAATACTGATAACTTAGAATTGTTTAGCTGCATATAGAAAAGAAACCTATCAAAATACTTTTCCATCACCAAGTCATTTCGATTCAGAAATTTGGTATCTAATTCTTTTGAAAACTTTGATCTAATAAGATAATGGTATCTCGATTAAATTCGACGCACGACACTGTCATATTATTTCAAGAAATCAATACCATCGAAGGCTTTAAAATAAAACCCAAGATTTCTTAAACATCTGTTGATAAATCAGCGAGAGCAGCATAAGCATCATAGCAGATGGAAAATCAGGGAAATTGGTGATTAGCAACTATTCATATAGCAATAGTAAGGTTTACGGATGGTTCACCCTCGAAATATTAAATAACGAAAAAACTTCGAAGCTAGTCAATATTATTTCATCATGTTCTAGATGAAAATTTATTATTTAACTTTTATGGTAATTTCGTAATTTTTTACGCGAAAAATCCAATCAAAAAGGTTGTTTTTTCCCTTTACGCCGTAGAGGTTACAATCCCCAGAGACAAAACCTATATAGTTATATTCACCATTTTATAACGAATTTTTCAAATTTTTTGTTGTCGAAAAATATTGATATAAACCGAAGATATGGCAGTAATAGTGTTTTTGGGGTAGTTTTTGAGGGTGGTCTTAAGCCCTTACATTTATTTTCCAACAAACTAACAGTGTCATTTTCTAGCCCACTTTTAAACGTCATAGCATATGGAAAATCAGCACAATTGGTAATCGGTAACTATATATTTTATTATTATTTTATTATTATTATTATCATATAGTATTAATAGGGTTTAGTGGTAGTTCACCCTCGAAATACATAAAAATGAAAAAACGCCGAAACACATCAATTTTATTTTATCATTTCCTAAATGAAAATTTATTTTTCAATTTTTTTATGATAATTTTGTAATTCTGTAGACGAAAAATCCACTTAAAAGTGTAGTTTTTTCCCTGTACATCGTAGGGGTTGCAACTCCCCGAGTCCAAAACTATGCGGCTTTGTTGTTTTTTAAGTAAGAAATTTTTTCCATTTTGTTTCATGAAAAAAGATTCATTACAACCAAAGTTACTGCTGTTTAACTGTTTTTATGGGTGACTTTTGAGGGTGGCTTTCACCCCCTAGACAGCTTTTTCCGCCAATAAAAAAAAACCGTGTTTCTTATTTTTTTATAAAGTATAACATATCTCAATTGCAACAAAATTGAAAGCGGACAGTTGGAAATGTTCCCTTGTAAGTGTAGGTAACACACAATACACGCGACCACGAATTTTTCTTCGTCTCGCACTTACCTTACGCAAGAGTATGGGTACATATTACAAGTAAAGAAAAATGAACATTATAGTAAATTTATAATGTAACGGAGTGGATCAACCGATGCAACTTGGGTTTATTTTAAGAACAATCTCCCACGATGCAAAGCTAACCGCCGCTCCGTTAATCACGTATGAGCATACGTGTATTCGCCTTTACGGTTGCTACTTTCGCTCCAATGTCTCCTTTCCAACAGAGTTGAACTCACCTTAAGTTACCTGATTTGTGACACTTGCCTCTTAGGTGTACGAAGACTAATGTTTCTTTCCAATATTTCCTAGATAAAATCGGTTTAAAAAATATCCAGTGACGGATCCGTTAAACTAAAGGGAAACGAAATAACGTAATGCGGCGAATAAAATCAAGACGTTTATAAATATTAGAAGCTACAGTCTTTGATGGGCCGAAAGACTTGCGCACGCGTATAAGATTTACAATTATACGAGGAGAGAGAGAGATAGAAAGAGAGAGAATTTGAAATACTACCGCGAAATCTGACGCTCGGCACGACTGCGATAACGGTCGCGTATACAAAATACTTTCATAAGTATTTTATCGCGCCGAAAAAAAGGAGGTGCAATTACCTACCCTGCGGTGCAATTACGGTGATCAGCCGTAATTGATGTCGGCAAATAACTATTGCTCTCCGGTGATGCTGCAACGGAGCTGCCCTTAGCTCCCAGATCGGTTGCTGCTCTTCCGACTCCTCACTGATCTTGGCTCAGTTGATTTTTCCGATCTTCTCGCTATCACTCACGCACGTATCGAAACTAATAAATTTTCAACAAACTTTTTCCGGTAAACGGTGTAATAGAGTCGGCTTGCAACGCCGATGCACCTATCGCTATTACCAATTATTTAGAAGGGGGAGGGCAAGGGAGGCGGTATATCGCTCCTGACAAGGTAAAGAGAAAGGTGGGCGCAATAATCATTCCTCATATCTTAATAAACCCTTTATTACATCATGCTACCCTGAGCATACAGTTCGGACATTCAAACGCGCGTCTTATTATCTACACTACAATCTACGATCGCTAAAAGAGATGGCCGGCACATTAGCGCCTTGCCATCTCGATACCGACTCGATATAATTTAACTTAGGCTAATAACCGAACCAGCCGCGCCGGCCCGTGAGAGCCTGGTGCAGCGCACAAGCCGTGAGTAGCCTTAGAGTGAGAATTAGAGAGAGAGAGAGAGATTAGAAATTGACCTGACGATTGACGATCTTCGATGCAGGGCCTCGCCGAAGATGGTGATGGCGTCCGATTGCAGGCAAATCTGTCCGTAGTTGGAAGAACTCGACGAAAGATGGGTTGGATCCGTAGCCGATACTAATGTCGTCTTGGTTTCCTCTTATCTTTTGCGGTTGACTGCAGGGGGTCAGCACACCTCTCTCTGCTAATGGCCACTTTCTACTACTCGTCGCGAGTACGCTTCCGAGTGCGTGAGAGACTTCTTCTCACGCTCTCCCCACTCTCTTGCCTAATCGCCACGCGGCACCGTCAAGTGCAGCTAGTGTCACGCGCCTGCCTACACTAATCGCGTTCTTTCTTTCTCTCTTATCTCTCTCTTTCTCTCACTCTCTCTCTTTCTCTCCTACAAGAGTGCATAGTAACAGGCGTTCTTGCCGACCAATGCCATTGCCTCTCTCTATCCTTCTTCCTCTTGCTCGTTGCGGTGGCGACGCTGAAAACATACAGGCATGCATCAGGCACGTGAATTATGTGCTATAGGTCTGCCATGAGTCCACGCCGATGGTAGGGAGAGATGGGGAACACACGGTGCAGGTCGAATCCACCGGCACCGTTACAACGGCAAAACACGAGAGAAAATTTTGTCTGTTTTCCTGCACAACAACTAAGGCTTTACTGAAAATTAAACTCTCTCTTAACCGTTTGCTCTAGCATCGTAAATGCTGCCGAATCGCGAACGTATCGATTAATTGAATTGACTACCGTTGCAATAAATAATATAGATAATAATTATTATAGAACATGAGGAAAAAGAGACATAACAACGAGTTAGCAATCTTACTCATTATAACCTACAATATGTACAATATGCAAATTTTTAATATTTATTAGATATATATCCGTTAATTCTGTATATATTTTGTAAGCAAACATTATTCTTGTAAACTATTGCTTATTATTATTTTTAGCATGCGGATTTTACCACACCACCAAGATACCGGAGGATTTTTCGTAGCAGTTTTGGAAAAAATTAAACCTTTGCCATGGGAAATGGACAATTATACACTTAGTGCTGTAAATATAGTTTTAAAACAGCCTTCTTCACAAAGTGAAGAATATGGAACGAATAATGAAGGTAAAAAGCGAAATTTGGAAACTGATATGAAGCCTTGTGGTCCTCAGAAAAAACGTAAAAGGCTTCAAGGTTACAAAGAAGACCCTTTCGTATTTTTCAAAAATAAAAATGAAGATATTTGGCCGTCTATACAGTAATGATAAATTCTTGTTTTTATTACAATTTATGTACAAATATTTTAATACTAATCACCAATTTTTTATATTAGGGAATTTTACGACATTTCTGATAACTTGAATCCAGAATGTTTATTAGTGAGGTGTTATGAAGGTAAAAAGAAAAATATATACTTCACTTCTCCACGAATACGAGATCTTGTTATGTGTAACGTAGACAAAATAAAAATGATAAATACTGGCATAAAAACCTTCGTTCGTTGCGATAACAAAAATATGATTTGTGCATTCCGATTAGCTCAAGAAGGTTTGAATAACATAGTACATTTCATTGGTGACTGTCGTAAAATTCAGATATTAAAAGAAGATCTTATTATGCTTCTTCAAAATAGTGATCATAATATCCCACCTGAAATTTCCAAATTAAATGTAGTTACACAAGAACGTTTGAAAAGCTTTGGTAAATATACATTTTAGAATATTATTAAAATTTAAGCAACATTATAATAAATGTTTTTTTCCATTTTCAGCTAAAGGTAGTTGTATTCTAATTTACGAAGAGATAAATACTGCTAATGAATATCCTTTAAAACTAAAATTAGTAGGATGGCGAGGAAGTATGTCATTAAGAGCTTACATTTCTACTTATGATGCTATTCATTATTTGCGCTTACTAGGTGGAGACTGTTCAATGTTTGGTAATACAATATTATTTAATAAATTCAAATGTAAATAACTTGAATTATGATAGTTTTTTGTACTTGACATAAAAAACTATCTCGTCGGTATTGAAATCTCTTTCGATAATTGGTCGCATTATATCTCTGATTTTATTCTCCACAGCAAATAGCTTCCGTTGCAATATATTTACTGACTAGTTTGTCTAGAGATAATAACTAAATATAGTTTCCAGTATTGCTAAAATTTAGGCAAAACTTTTGTTCAAATCTCTCCGTTGACGCAATCAGCCCTCGTCATACAACGCCGCCGGGCTCGCGTCGTAACTGTGGTCTCATAGCTGATAGTGATTCTTACTTGTCCATGAAGCTGACTCGAACGCTCAAGGAGAGAGCCACCAGGCCTACACTCTCGGTCGCGCAGAGAAGACGAATAGCTTCAATATTCCGGAAGGAACTCAACTCGCAATTTTCAAATTCCGTTTGAAAAAAGAAGCGCGAGACTCCTTCCTTTCTTTTAATCCATCATCCAGGGCCAATTATACCATACTTTGGTGATCGAGAGGGCGGTCAGATTAGGTCAACTACCTGCCCGGGAAGCCAGCAGCCGACTCCTTCTTTTTATATGACGCATTCTTTTATTACTGCGCATCGGTCCTAAAGCAATTTGAGTTTCACCCAAACATGTTAAGAACGGATATCTGTTTTTAACAACGAGGAAAAACAGATGAGCGACAGTAGACATGCGCCAGCGGAGAAGTACTATAAATTATCACGCGCTTCAGTTCGACTGCTTTCGCTAAAGCCCTCATAGTCGTAAAGTAAACCATTAACGCACTGAGACACACCTTCGCCACGTGTAAAGGCTCCATTTTTTTCTCTCTATACCTGAGCGCAAATAGCGTAAACAACTTTATTCACTGTAATTCATTCTACGATGATCTAACCAATCGTGCGTACTAAAAACTGTACTTATCGAGTCTCCTTTCTATTGCACCTGGATCATATTTGATATAAAATATAAGAATGATGAATATGATTAGTAATAACCTAATCACCTAATTGGAGCACTGTTAAAGTTATTCCTTATGAATGTTTATTAATCTAACGTTTCGGACTGGTAAAAGCAGTTCTACTTCAAAATTCTAAAAAAATTCTACAAAAAAAAATTATAGAATAGAAACAAATAAATGTTCAATTCAGATAAAAAGATTAGTTATATTTTCAAAGTATTTTTCACAGTCTAGATAGCAATAGAGAACATCGACTCAAATTTTCAATTTGGCCTGGTTGTCGTAGAGACTTAGATTTATTTTTAATTTTACAGATGGTGAAAGCAAAATTTACATAAATGTTCATTTCTTGGTCCACGGCAAACGTGTACTTTTCCTAGAGAACTTTTTTTTATTTCCTAATTTCATTTACAATCTGTCAGTGACAATAGATAAATCTAATAAATTTTGATTTGAATCTATGTTACGTAAAAGTAGTTTACCATAGTACCAAAACGTATACGTATTTTACAAAGCTTGCTTTATGTATATAAGAAAAATATTTTATATTTTTTGGAATCTTGAAACTGATGGTGTTTTGAGCATTAAACTTTTCGTCAAGCAATTAGAATATTCCTATAGTTGGTTGGTGCATCTTGTGTAAATCGCTTTAATTTATTTTTTTACAGTTGGTATGTTAACGATTTTCATAATTATTTCACTTATAATAAACCATAGTTCAAATATGATGGATCGTATAATTTTTTTAACTGTGGATTAAGTTGTTAATGTTTGGTCCAAATGTAGTCTCTTCACGTTAGTCGACGATCCAAGTGCATACCAAAGTATTTATTTTTATTCCCTTGTGGTATTTGTTGGTTGTTAATGTGTAGTAGAAAACGAGTTTATCTTATTTAAGGTGTAAGTTATCTTAATTCACTTGTTTACATTTATTAATATTCTCCATTTCCTAAACCTGAGTATTACTTTGAATAAATATTTCTGCATATTATTAGAGGCCTTTGTTGCCTTATAGTAGGATGTTAGGATATAGTATGTAACGGAGGATCTCGGCTAGGCCGATTTCATCCGTTTGGATTTCATCCATGACCGCGCACCGTGCTAAGCTAAGAGTGTGTGCCTGTGGCACGCACACTCATACTTGGCTCTTGTTTTCGAGGTGCGGCATACCGACTGAGCTGATGGACGGAGCAATCGAGATGGCACGGAGGAAAGAAGAGGAGAGAGAGAGAGTGTGTGTTCTAGTTGCGAATCCCTGCGCCAATTTTGAGAGAGAGTATCTTCTGGGCATTAGCAGAGACCGTCACACGCACGGATTGAACCAAATCTTCAACAATTTTCCGGAGTCGTTCCCACAACCTCGCCAACGTTTCGTTTTCGGATGCACGCACGGATGAGAAATAGGGTCGCGCCCAGCCATATCCCGAAGGATACCCGGTATCGGTGTGTGTGTGTGTGTGGGTAACCGGCAAAGGGCGTTGGTGCGCGTGTGAGTGGACATCGTCGCTGCTGCAGATACCGAGTGACCGGAAGACAGCGGGAACAACAACAGCTGCAGCGGAACCAGCAACAACAACGAGCAACAACGGGTTTTTTGTTAACAATATTTGAGAGAAATCGAGCCAATGGTCGAGTGAGAGGTCGAGCGAGAAAACGAAGAGCGACGGCAATACTACTAAAGAGGCGCTCATTGGGAAGGAGCGCACCAGTGACGTCATCCAATGACGTCTTCCAGCCGTCAGAGAGGCTGACGGTCGAGGTCGGTGCCGTGTTCTCTTTTTTCTCTCTCTCTTGTATGTTTGGGCGCCAGGTGATGGGTGGGCAGTGTGGCAGATCCACCAACTAACTCGTCGGCCATATTAACGGTGGAAATTGTTTATCGGGAATTCATTGTGACAAATAGATTCAAAAGGCAATCGGCAGGCTGACCAGCCACTAATTCACCTTCGCGCTCGCGATTTGTTGTTGTGCCGCTCGTAGTCTATCGGCATGAGATCGCCGTCTTGTAAGCTATTGTTGACAAGTAAATGATTAGTGTATTAATCCGCTGTTGTGTTTATTCGCCGCTATGTCACTCCTCATCCCGAATCTTAATCCGTGCATTTAACGTGGTTTTGCTTGATGCGTTAATCAGTCGTGGGAACGTCTTTTGCTTCCCGAAGCCTCGAAATAAATAATTTGTGTGAACGGCCGCGAGCTACCCAGGCGAGAACAGTCGATGCTCCGTTACAAGTATCATATGTACATAGATACCATACTCCAACAAGTATTATAGCCTGTCAGGGAACAGTAATTTTGAATACAATCATGCTCAAATAGCAAGGGGATTCGACTTCGTAACGTACTGCGTCAATGTTGCGCCCCGCGATTTATTTTTAATGGGTCCTTTCTTGAGAGCCGACGCGAACTCCGACGAGCGTGAATCCGACGCGATGACGGGAAAAGGTGTAACACGTTCGTTTATATTTTCCTATTTTCGCGACAGAAATGAGCCCAAGTCGGGCAAAGTCCGGGCTAGCCTGTCTCGTGCAAATAAATGCACTGGAGACAAACCGTCGCCTTACAGAATTATCCCGCGAGTTCCCGTGGATGCGGTGCGGATTCTACGCACGCACAACCACTCGTTCGCGTCCGGCCGATAAGATGCCTAGAGAGAGAGAAACCGAAGTGCGCACCAAGGAAAACCAGGGTACCTGACTTTAGGAGGGAGCGTGGAATCGGTGGCTCTCTTTTCTAGTTCCGCTATTTTAGAGTAAAGAATTTTGGATTATTTATTCGAATTTTTATTTCACTTTTGCTGGATTTTTTGTAGTTGGCATTAAAAATGGTAATGTAACTGGAAAGGTACACGATACAAGAAACTCTTTCCCGAACATGTGCCGTACCGTATTTTTTGATACGACGTGTGGAAAGTGAGATTTTCAACACACATTCTTTGCCGAGCGTGCGGGAAAAACGCACTTTCCGCATGGAGTGTCGATAAATTCTACGACTTCATGTAATTCGTCTTCCACAGCATTTTTCACATAATGAAAAAAGTTTTCAGTCTGCATCTGATCACCATGTCTAACATCAGATTTAGAATATAAAAATATATTATGATCATCTTCAATAACTTTTTTTATAATAAATTTTTCTCAACGATTCATTATTATCAAAATTGATTTTACTGATTTAATAAGTACTTGAATATCCAAGATTAAATAAAGGAGAACAATCGTGACTGTCACGTAAATTTCTAATTTATTGGCTTGTGTGTGTATGTGTGTGTGTGTGTGAGAATATGTCTAATAAAGACAAAAAAACGCACACAGCCTTATGCGTATTGATGTTCAAATACTGAAAACTGTAGTGTACTATTATTCGCCTATTTTAATTAACATCTTACAATTATTTAACTATTTGAATTTGAATTTTTTAGTGGATCCATCGGAACATAGTATTACTAAGTTATTTGTGTTACGAAACCAGTAATTCCTTATTGTTGTTTATCTTTTCTTGTTTGTTCTGCCTTCTTTAGGACTATTTCTCAGACTTGTGTTATTAACGGCTTTCCAGGTTTCGGTTGCATTTACCGTTTCTTCGGAAAAGTTAATATCTCGCTGATTGTTAGTATCCATTTTTACTGTTCTTGGATTAATGCTTTTGACTATGTTTAACACTATTTGAATAACTTATAGTATAAACTTGGTACAAGTCCCAAGAGAGTGATTGATCATATGCACGTACTAGATGAGCATTACAAAATGCTGACCTAAGTGATAGATATGTATTTATTGCAACAAGCCTTTGTATTCAATGTGGCTTTTGTACTCAAGATTCAGTAAAAGTTATATATTTTTTTTATAAATTTATTGCATGGCTCTAAATAGGAACTATTTTTAGGAACTATTTTGTACGGAATTAACTGTGAACCGATTCCTCATCTGAAACCTTCACCTTCCGCCCCACTCTGCCGCTGCTAAATTGTAAATGCTTGCTTTCATGCACAGTCGATTTTTCTCTGTT